CTACAGTGATTAAGTCTAATATTCACTATTACTGACAAAAGCAGTTTTAAGATCTGACTAGTGATAAGGGCAAAGGAAAGAATTTGTGTGAGAAAGATGAAATTAAGATAAAAGGCATAATTCTTAAGAGGCGTCGAATCATTCATGGGTAAAGTAGGTCTATTTTTTACATTCATTTGCATATAAATGTTTTGTGTTAGTGGTAAATGATAAGTAATTTCATGCTGTTAGTGCACTCCAATGTTTCCTCTGCCAAATAATAATGCTATTTCATCTGCTGCAATCTTCTAGCTTTATAGATTCAAATATACAGTGTATAATAAATTCCTGTGCAGACATCGCAGGTTTAAATAACTAGAATGAAAACAGTGCTAAAACCAGTATGCTGTACAAAGAAGAAAATGTTTTGGTTTTAAATCAAACCCTAATCTATAAAAATGCAGATTCCCTGAAGAATTATTTTGCAAATTCACCAGGACTTTACTAAATTCTTTGTTTAAGGAAAACTTTAAAGCATCCAAATGGGATTTGGGAAGTTTTCTAAATATTCCTATCTTCACAGAACAAAATGTTTCCTACTTTAAGGTTTCCTTTAAAAAATCTTTGAAAATGTTCAAAATCAAATGTAACTAACTTAATCTTCATTCAAACAAAATGTATGTGGTATTTCTGAGGAATAAAACAAAAACAGAAAAAAAACACACGCATCAAGGCATTGTGGTGATACGATCATTTTCTTAAAGATGGAAGAAGTAATCTTTGTCTGTGAAGTCTTCAGTCTTTGTATTCTAGAGGCAGTGAGGCAAAGGGTCACATTTTCTGGGAAAAATATGATACCAAGGAGACATAAAATTTAGAGTCTATGGACACTCAACAAAATATAGTCACACTTGATTTGCTAAATGAAACTCCATCTCCTGACAAACCTTCCTGACATCTTTTTCTGATAGAAAAAGAACTACGTGTGTTTCCTTGCTTTCTGCAGCACAGTTAGGTATTTCAGGAGCTACAAGACCTCCAGATGCACTCCAAACATGAAGACTGATACAGTGATCTGATGGCCTTAAGTAATCTGTTCTTCAATACACATTTCTCTTTTCTTAAGCATCACCTCCATCTTCCCTCAGTTTATTTCCTGTTGGCATTGCCCAGTCACATCCAGTTCTTCAAACAACCACCAAAGAAACAAGGCTTCTGACATTTTATGTGTGGATGCAGGTCTGTTACACTATTGTTTATGTACTGATGAAATGTAAAGCAGTCTTAGAATAGCTTCACCACCACATACATACTGAAAAGCATTGTGTTGAGGCTAGATCGTAGTGGCAATTTTCATAACTGATGAACATATGTTTTATTACCTGGGAGTAACCTGGAGAAAAAAATACCATAGTACCTAACTCAATATAGTTTCTCCTCTATCTCTAGAGCTGAACACATAGCTTCTTAGTTTACCATTTTCCAAACAGTTTTGAGATGTCAATTATTTTTTTGAGATTTCATCAGTATGAGTAAACATGCACATCCATATGAAGCAGGAATCTACCTGTTGGTGCCACCAGTGTAATCTCACTTTCATGTCCCAGTTTGAGCAGAAGGGAAGGGCAAGAGATGTGCCCTGCTGGAAACAGAACAAGTCTACAGGCACATATCCATCATAGTGGTTTCTCAAGTACTGGTCAAAAACCATACAAAAAAACTCTCAGCAGCAACAAAATACCATCACAGACCTCACTACTTCTTTCTTTTAAGCACAGAGAACATTATCTTGCTCTTTCTGACATACAGATTTTAGAAAACAAAAAACTGCACTGATGCAAGATAAACTATTTAATGTGCTCCCACCTTAACAGACTGAAGGAGAGAGGGAAGAGACAGACTACATTAGTTACATTGCCCACTCTCTCCTGGAGCACCTTTGGCTTTGGTGATGGTATGCAGTAGGCACACCCCCACCATTATCAGCGAGTGTGACCTGTAACAGTAGCAGCAGCTGGGCTTTATTCCTCCTTCTCTGAAGCACCACAGGAAAAGAAAACCTGTGAATTTCCCCCCCTCCCCCAGGATGCTTTCTCTCCTGTCAAGAGCACAGTGTGGCAGGAGGGCAGCCAAGATAGACTCTACTAAGATGGATAGCACGGGCCACCATTTGTTCCCTGATCAACTAACAAACATTTCAGGACCCATTTGTTGCAAATGCTTATGACAGGAGGGGAATACTGTGAGAGACCATAGCCTCCCACTCACCTTCTGTCAAAAAACAACAAAGAACATCATTTAAATAGTGCTATCAATCATAACTTGTTCTCAACTATTATTGCAGCCATTGGTTTGCCTATTTAGTACTATCCAATAGCCTCCGCCAGGGTTAAGGAGGTGCCATGCTCTCCATACCAGCCAAATATGCTTATTCAAGCTCTCTACTTTTCTCTGGGAAGAAAATGTTGTCCCATAAACTACAAGCACGCAACACAAGCAGCTGGTTTGCCTTTTGCCATATTCACAGCTGACAGGGCAGAACCTGTTGAGTAGACTTTTAACCCCCAAAAAAATGCTGGGAATTGGGGCAGGAAGAAAGCAGCTCTTAAAACACATCAGCTACCAACACTGCAGAAGTTTTCCTCATTGATGGCAACTCTGTTTTGGAAACTCTCCCCTGCAGAGTGGGAGAAGGAATGAAGAGTGGGAGGTGGTTCCCTCCTCCTCAATTGTCCTCAATGGCAAAAAACTGTTTAGGTGGTCACTCACTAACTCAGAGAGAATGGGGAGGAGAATCAGAAGTGACAATCTTTTGGGTTTTTTTAATGATTAGTTTAAAAACCAGTCAGAGATTATGCTTGCTAGGCAAAAATAACATTAACATTACTATTCCTGCCCTGTCACACATCGTCTCCAGCATCCAGATAGATGTTAACTCAGTTGAATCGTACACTTGCAACTCATTTCAAATTCTATCATGAAACCTCTGTTAAATTCCAGTGAAACAGAAAATATAGTCAGACAATTTTAATTAAAAACCCTTTGCACTAGCAGTTATCCTATGTTGGAGAGTCATAGGCTTAAAATCCTCCTAAACAATACAGTCAACATTAGAGGCTAATCGGAAGAACAGGCAAGCACTAAGCAGGACAGATACTTACTGATGAAATAAGAAAAGGGAAGTCTGTAAGTATAGGACCAGTATAGCCAAAAGGATGGTCTCTCAATTAAATTTCCTAAGAGGTTTATCTGATTGGTGAACAATAAATTCAAATTAAGTCCACTAAAATCAATATAACAATCACATTTTGTATCCCTGAGGAGCCATCAGGAGCCAATCGTGAGACTGCAAAAACCTCAGCTTAAGTTAGAAACTGTAATCTCAAAGCATGCTATTGTGTTTCAATGATGAAGTTTTCTTTAAGACAAATTCAGAAAAGCAGACAACACTAAATATCCAACAACAGCCACGAAGGTAGGGATTTGCTGCTTGAATTAAGGTCGCTGTGTTAGCCTTCACAACAAATTCCTTATTTTGTATTCAGTTTCTTTCCATACACTTTTGGCTAAGATAAGAGAGCTACAAAGACAAGTTGTGTTTGCTTGTCTAAAGAGAACATGTGTAATACATACCCAGGAAAAAAACTAATTTCACCTAATAAACAAGGTTTTTTTTTTTCTGTGAAAATAGGTTAGTTTTGAAAGAGGCACAATCTATCTCCCTGTGTGACTGGGAAGAATGGTCATCATTGTTCTCTCTAATTTAGGTTTTGTCTCAGTTATTTACTTTCCTGTTTCCCTTTGCACTTTCTGATTATAAAAGTACTTTGTGAATAACTCTCTTCATATTCCCTCCTAAAACAGCAGCATTTTTTTTTTAGGATTGCATCCTTTCAATTATTTAAATACCACATAGATAAGTTAACTTACTGCACTGAGCCACTTTGTAATGTTATTAGAAACACTACTCTAAAGAAGACAATCTAAGACGTGTTTAAAACCAAACAACTTCCTGTATGGAAAAGCTTTTCTTCCCCTTTTCACTTTTTCCTTCGCCTTTTTTTTTCCACTCACTTCTCTTCATTACCCCTCACATCTATCATCTCCCAAAGATGCAACAACAGGATATTAGAAAAGCCACTGCACACTGAGAATCCACAAGCCCTTCTGAAGAGCCTTTCAGCCTACCATCTTTGATTGCGTCTACTGGGATTCAGCTTTCTTAAAGCTGCTTCTGAGGCTTAGAAAAAGTAGTACGCATTAAAGATACACAAAACACCACTTTAGGCAGTCAAGTACATCTTAGCTGAGCTGCTCACAATCCTTCCTACAGTGGAGAGTGCAGACAGTGTGCCAAATCTATCACTAATCTTTACAAGCACACACAAAAAGTTCATAGTGTTAAGTTGACCCCACACCCTGCACCAAGGGGATAATCCCCCTTATGGATGTTTACCATGCGACCTGACTGAAAAGACCATTATCAAAATCCCTCTGTATCCGCCATCAGAGACGCCTGTATTATTTACACACAAAATAATTATTGCAGCATTTAATCCTTTCTACTGTGAAATACAAGCAGCTATGCTTCAGTAAGATCAAATAATCATCTAGAACATAATTTGCATGAAAGGATCAGTGAAAAGTGACATGGTTAATATCAGGACATTTTGTCTGTAAAGGGCAACAGGCACACAATTACTGCATTCACATATATAACTGTGCTACACTCCAAAACCAGTCTAGTTCTCTTGTGGTTTCAGATTAACTCTTCTTCTATAAAGACAGATATGTGAGCCTTAAATCTCTGACATCAATTTATTTAACAAGCACCATCCTATCAGTAGATACTGCTCTTCATATTGCCTCCGGTTTCAAATGATAAACGGTTCACACATAACATGTGTGGAGTTTCTTGAGCTATTTAGATAGTCTTTGGGACTAGAAATCTGAATACACAAACTGGGAATATGCAACCACTATTGACTCCTCCCAGCCCCATTTTGCCCCAAGAAGTTTACCAGTGCGCAGAGCAAGTCTACTGCTTCCAAGATAAGCTCCTGATGGCCAATTCGTGTGACTCCAAGATCTTCCAGTTCTTGATGAGTAATTCGTAGTAGCTGGTCACCACTAATCTTCTCTCTCTCAAAGTTCTTTATATATTGCTGCAGGCAATCATCAAGACCTACAGAAACAAGGTGGAAGAAGGAAAGACAAAAGTTAGCAACATTCTGCACGGCCATAGGAAGTAAAAATGAGCTGGAACCAAAAATCAAGCCAATGGAGGACATTTCCCCTATCTTTAAGAGAAGTATTTTAACATTACAAAATAGTCAATGCTACCCAGAGATTTTAATATTTGGAGGGCTATGGCAGCCGTGGCTTTTCCATCTGTGGGTGATACCAGCCACTCCTGAACCCTGCACCAGAGCCCTGAATTCTTGCAGTGCCCTGCACCAGGGCAATGCCTCCCTTACATCTGTGACGGGAGGTGAGAAGAAGGAACAGCAGAAGGGAGGAAGACTTGCATCCTTCTCTGCATGCAGCATGTCAACAGATGCTGTTCATTATTACAGCATTGTTAATAGACTGGAAACAAGGGAAAGCCTTTGTGCTAGAGACAAAGTCTAAGGGAATAATGAGGGTGTGAATAAGTTTAATGCCACACATCCAGAAGTGACTAGCTGTCAGCACCTCTCAACCTTGCTCCCCGTGCACCTCTGCTATGGGTAGTCACGTGACAAGGAGGGGCTCCTACTCCAAGACTGTTCATATGCTGCTGAGCCACCTGAAAGTTCACAGATCACGCCAGCCCCTAAAACAAGCTGCAAAGAGCTTCAGAGAACAAGAAAGGGAGTAGCGCTGCAAATGCATAAACTGGGCTCCAACTCCAGCAGCAGATCCAGCTCAATGTACCTCAGTCCATAAACCATATGGAGTCACAGCACACAAAAGCCTACCGAGCATGAAAAGCCCCTAAAATCAAGACCTGGGTACACTCCCCAGAACAGAGTAAGTAGGGAACAGAAACAGGACAGTTGTGTCAGAAAAGATCCTAGAAGTGAATGCAACACATTTGCTCAGGACATGGATGAGTGTAGGGTTGTACAGGATCAGGTCCTTCTTTCGGGGCCACCCCTATTCTAGGTATTTAGTTTGACTATCAGTCTAATGACATGTAGCTGACTACACATTTTTGCCTGGAGCAAAGAGCACTGCAGAATGTGAGATAATCCATCGTGCACCTCTTCCCCATCAATCTTTGCCTACGAAGGACAGACCAGTACAGGGAAGTTCTGCAGCGTGTGCATCCCTGTGCCAAAGGGATAAGAAAGGCTCTTGGGTATTTGGTGGTCCATCTAAAATTTGTGTCTGAATACCTTCTGCTGGATCAGCATGATTGCTACCAAGTAGCAGGATTTGTCAAAAACCTGAACACATTAAATTAGCTGATTCTTGAGCAACACCAGCTTTCTGACGGTTGTCTTCGAACAATCCCTAATGTTGAAAAGATATTGACTTGTTAGGTTGCAAGGAAGTGAGAATATTTTTACATGCTAATCGAAATGCCTGAAAAATGTGAAGATAGATGGAGAAGAAAAGATAGATGTGACTGCTAAAAGCCTCAGCTTACAGCATAAAGCTTCTCTGAGATTGGTTTTGTTGCATTTTTGGTTCTCATTCACCCCTTTTAGGATATAGCCACACCTCCAGAGAGACTCATATAAGGAATATGTTGGTCCTGCAGGCAGGGATGCCCTAGTGTCAAGCCAGGCCAGCCTGCCATTTCTGGCTTTGCCCTTGGGCAAGCGTCACCCACGCTCTGTCCCTGCCACAACACACCAGCACAATTTTCACATGGCTTTAACTTCTAGAATTGGCAAACCAAAACTGAACCACACGCAAACATGCTGTAAATCACACTCCAGACCCAAGGCACAGGAGCGGTTCCCCAGTTTCAGCAACCTCTGACCACATCCCTCCAGAGCTTGCCGCCTGATTTCCTGCCTCCAAAACAAAGCCACTCGTAGGTCGAGGTTAAATATGCATTTGGAGGTACGTCTTTCATTCATTTCCCTTTCTAATCAAATAGTTGCTCCAATCAGTCATATACTCTATTTCAACATATTAACAGAGAACAAAAATTATGATCTAGGACTGATCATGCATCACATCTTGCCACGCAGCCTGGTTCTCAGATGTGCTTGGCCAGCTTGTGAGCAGATAAAAATTGTTCCCTAATTCTCCAACAAAGAAAATACAAATCATTAAACTTTCAGTAAGAGCAATGATCTATTAAAGCTCTTATTCTCCTAAATTTTATTCCCATATAGTAGGGGAAACTGAATTATCAGAACTACCAAGACTAATCCATAAAACTACTTGGTTGCCACATATGCACAGAAGAGAAGACAGGAACACTCACTAAAGTCAAAACATCACAGCCTGCTGTTTTATGGGTAATTCACTGTATTTTCGATATTTTTTTCCTTTGTACTTAAATAATGAATAATCTGCCTTTGGCCTTAGAACTGCTTGTTGATGAAAAGTAATGTTTCACTGTGAAATACCACAGTACATGCATAGTCAATGTGATGTACAAGGGGAGGATCTTAATTTCTCTCTCTCAGACACCATTGCTTTAGAACACGTTAAGACTATGAGTCCTGCATATTCCCAATGCATTTCAATGGGAGCCCTCCATGCAATTATTTCCATCTCTCTCTTACGTGCTAGGCAATGCTCAATTATTAGCAAACAAACAAACAAACAGCAATAAAAATCAGGTGTTCTTCTGTGCCTGACACCTGAAAGTAAGGCCATTTACCAAGTCCTGGCACTATAAGAACTCCTTTAAACATTTAATTTTAGGTTGCAAAAGGAAATTATTTTTCTCAGATCTTCTTGGATCCACTTTACTTCTTCACAGACACACACAAGACACCATTATCTTGACTTATCTGATGTGAGCCTTCTTGATTTGTACATATTTTCTCCCAAAGCCCTTCTTAGCCCAAGTTTTCCATCTGATACATTAATTGCATTAACTGTTTTACAAGCACAGTCCCACATATAAGGGCAAATATTTTTTAAAGAAGTTGAATATTCTTGAAAATACATTAAACATTTAATCTAAAAATGTATTAAAAAGAGGCCATAGATGTGCTTTTGCTAAATGACTAAAAAGAAGGCAGTAAGTACTACTGACATTCCTGAACTTAAGTCCCACACTTCTTACATAGACTGCTGAATGAGAATAATAACATTAAAATATCTAATGTCATCAGGTATCAAAAAAAAAAAAAGAATTCCCAGCTAAGAGACTAGCAACACAAATCCTGAATAAGACATGACAGATGCACTTAAACACTTACTGACAGTTAATTCTAAATAAAGCCATTACTCTTCCTCCTCCTGCCATCTATATATTTTTGTCATTCAGATGTAATCTAGACAGATGCATGTAGTACATATAGGGTAAGAAAAAGAAAAGACAACAAAAATATGACTGACAATTGCTTGACTCACCAATTTCGTAAAAACTGCAGCCAGGAAAGACCAAAATAATGTAACCATAGATTGCATGACATTTTCAGAATAGCTTGTGTTATATCACTTCCCCTCATTCCCTAAACAGAACATCGTTTAAAAGTAATTTATTTCTGTCATTTTATTTCATAATTAAAAAGCAGCAGTTCTTTTTGTAAAAGAAACTGTGCACAGACAGGAAATAATAAGAATAACAACAATAACAATGATAATAATACAAAAAGACTGCCAGCATTCCTCACCCACACCTTCTGTCCCCAGGGCCACAGCAGACAGCCTTGTTTGCCAGCAGCCAGCCAGCTACTGCTGTGTTCAGATCAACAGGAGGGGAGCTGCAGGGAACAGGCATTCC